GAGATTGGGCTAGAGAGCCACAGAGATCCGTGTAAAAGGAGCTCCCCACCTCCTCCTCAGCCTTTCTCTTCCTGTTTGCATTAAAATCCAGGGCTTACTCACTAAAGATGCATCACCTAAAGCATAAAGTGATTTCCTAGTAGTAGCACACTGCTTAAACCAGGAGCAAGAAGAGACGCTTGCTCAGCGTGATCTTGAAGAACACGGTTTTGAAAGTAACTTCTCTGTTCAAATCCCTGTAATTTCACAAGTCTCCTCAACACAGAATTGAGAAAGCACTGTACCTTTGGGGTCTCTTGGAAGGTTGCCAGAAAAGGAGGAAGAAGTATCAGAGCAGCCAAAGACCAGTGCTTGTACTGAGGCTACCAGATGACCCCCCCACACCCCACAAAAAAAAAATCAGAGCTGTCTTCTAAAACTATTGTGTAATTTTGTGATTTGGCTTCATTTTGGTTTTTGGAAAGTACCTGTGCTTGGTCTTGTACATTTAAAGTTAATTTAATTTTTTTAACAAGAAAGAGTTTGAGAAAGAACTTTTCATTTCATAAGCCCTGTGACTAATGTTTTATTTTTCATAACTGAGAGATTGCTTCTGTAAGTACACAGCCATGTTGAAAATGTTCACCATGATGTTGAAATAGAATAGGAACTATAAGACTTAAGGAGAACCAGTTGATTTAAAATATATACCAGTTTTCCCTTCTATTGTTAAAAGTAGGCTGACAACAGATCGTTAGGTAAAGAAGAAATCAGATGACTATGGACTTTCCTGAGATAAAAGGATCCTTGAGAAACAAATTACTACATAGAATTTGACAAATGGCTCAAGTGAATGTTTACTCCTAAACACAGGATATTCTAAAGCCTATTGTTTGGAGTATTTATGTTAAGCTTTCTTAAAGATTATTATCTTTTGAAATCCAGCATACTCTCTTTTTTTTAAGCTTTGTTGTTTCAATTTTTTTGCTTTATTTTTACTGTTTTTTTATTTTATTTCTTAACTTGTTCTAATTAGTTATACATGACAGTAGAATGCATTTTGACATATTGAAGCTTCGTCATTTCTATTATGATTTTTCATGGTGAAAATCTGGTATTAGGTAGGCATTCTCTGTAACTGTATAGTACCACTCCAAAGGCAAAGAACCATGACTGAGAAAAGTTAGACTATCAGGAATGTAGACTGAAGCATGTAAATCCCCAAATCATAGAAACTATTTTGATACTGCTTTTCTAATTAAAATTCATGTCTGCCTGGTTTTTGAATGTTAATGCCTGGCTCACTAGTCATTGCCTCAATCAGTTTCCTTCTTGCCTCACCAACAATACTTTCTCTTGCATACACTAGTATGCTACCATATAAGGGGGAAAATATATTAGAGATAGTCTATGTTTTATTTTATTTATTTATTTACTTTTTAATTCTCGGCAGACTCATCTTTGTTTGTATGTGGTGCTGAGGCTCGAACCCGGGCCGCACGCATGCCAGGCAAGCGCGCTACCGCTTGAGCCACATCCCCAGCCCCAGTCTATGTTTTATATATAGGTTTATGTGTTAGTGGGGATGTTTCTACTGTGCTGTTTATACAAAATAAAGAATTCTATGTTGAGGCAAAAAAAAAAATTCAGTCTGTCTGGACACTGGAGGTCAGGAGGCTCGAAGTCGTGGATGTGAATGTGTGCTATATGTTCTCTGTGCCAAGCCAGGCAAAGTCTCCAAGCAGGAGAGACGCTGGACACATGGTTGGGCCAATGGGCTCTCCTCCCATTTCTATTTCCCTCACCCAGACCTCCCCACAGACATCAGAAGTTACCCTTAACTCAAAATATTTTATTGAATTCAAATAAAAATTGTCCAGTATGGTTGGTGGCCACTGGGGGACAGAAAAATCATAGGATCAGGGTTGGGGAGGCTGAGGATCAGGTGTCCAGCATGTCTGTCCAGTGTTCCTATGGAGATAAGAGCTTGGTCAAAGGCAGCCTAGGGGATGGAGGTAGATGAAAAGAGTGGGGGCCAGAATCACCTCTCACCTCTTCTAATTCTGAGCCATCCTCTTCCTCCTCAGTGCCCATCCGGCACAGCCGGATCAGGTCTCCCCAAAGCAGTGAGTTCTCACAGCTGCCAAGGGTGCAGTTGGTAGGAGATGATACAGAGTCAAGCTTCTCAAGCCCCCTGCAGCCCTGGCCCTGGGTCGCCAAGGAATCATCTGCCCCAGCCTGGATTGGAACACTGGGCACCCTCTCCCCAGAGCTAGGCCAGGCTGGGAAAGAGGATAGCACTCACCTAGGACATTGGCCCTCTAGGGGCAGAAGCTGCCCTGGCTCTTCCTGAAGGAATTCCTCTGCCAGGCAGATCACATGGGTCTTTAGGGGACAGCCAGGGTGAGGGCAACACAGGGGACTCTCTTCTTCCTGTCAAAGGTAGCAAAGGAAGGAAAGGAAGACTGGAAGTAAGCTATTTATTATTGAGAGATCAGAAGCCAGGCCTCCATCTGTTAACTTGTTAAGTATTGATTGATCACCTACTCTGTGCTAAGTGAGTGAATAAGAGTTGCCCTCCTGGAGTTTAGTGTGAAGAGTGGGGAAGCTGATTAGGAAATAATAAAATATACCATGTGAAACAATAATAAGAATTAAGGGCAAAAGTGGGCCCTACAAGGTGGCCAACACCTGTAATCCAAGTAACTAGGAGGCTGAGGTAGGGGGACCGATCACATGTACTTAGCCTGTCTAGACAACTTTGGAAGACTGTGTCTCCCACAATTAAAAAAAAAAAAAAAAAAAAAAACAGTAAGGGCTGGGGATGTATTGGGTTTAATCCACTATACCATAACAAATAAATAAAAGGGGGGGGGGAAAAGGACTTAAGAGCTTTTTTTTGTTTGTTTTTGGTTTTGGTACCGGGGATTGAACCCAGAGGCGCTTAATACTGAGCCACATCCCTAGCCTTTTTTTTTTATCTTTATTTTTATTTATTTACTTTTATGTGGTGCTGAGGATCGAACCCAGGGCTTCATGCATGAAAGGTAAGCACTCTACCACTGAGCCACAACCCCAGCCTCCTAGCCCTTTTTATTTTAAGACAGAGTCTTGCTAAATTGCTGAGGCTAGTTTTAACTTGCAATCCTCCTGCCTCAGCCTCCGGAGCTGCTGGGATTACAGGTGTGCACCACTGCGTCCAGCTCAGAAAAAGCTATAATTTTAGATGGAGAGGAAAGGCCTCACTGAGTTGGTGGCACATGACCAACTCTTAAGGTCTAGAACTGCACCTTCCACTCAAAGGGAAATGACCAGGGCCCTAGATTAGTAGTGAGGGGTCCAGGAACCATGCACATACTTTGCGTGGCAGAGCTGCCAATCAACGCGTCAGTTGCGTGTCTGTTCAACAAACGTATTGACCTCAAATCTTCTGAACCCCAGTCCTGCCCCTACTTGGCGCGGATCTCACCTCAAGGGTGCGGGCGCAGAGAGTGCAACAGGATTGTGCGACCCGGTCCTTTTCACGCTCCCTGTCTACAACAGGCCCAGCGCAGCGCTTCGGAAGCTGGGTCCGGGGAGGAGGCGGGCCGAAGGCCAGCGGCACATGTGGTGGCGGGGGAGGGCAGAGATCCTGGCGGAAGTCCTGGCGCAACCAGCGCAGTGTGAGCGGGAGACGCGCCCAGGGTGGCGCGCGCAGCATGTGCGCAAGCACTCGCAGGTGGAAGGCGAAGGTTGCCTCGCCTCGCAAGCGCGGCCCCACGTGTGACAGGCGACGCGAGGCTTGCGGGTGCTGCCAGGCCCACTCGAACTGCGGGCGGGAAAGACAAGAGCGTTGGGGCGGCCGAGACTGCAGTAGCATAGTGACACTGCGAGCTCACTCATCTGTCCACCACCCAACTGTCTTTCTTACCCGAAGGGCGGCCACCGCAGATGGGAAGCCGTGCACGATAAGCACCATCTCCCTGGGGAGGAAAACAAGCGCGCGGCCTGTGAGCCCCCAACCCACATACACCCCACGTGATGCCGAATCCCTAACCATTGTACGCTTCCAGTCCCCACCAAGGGCCATCCTCACACGAGCTTCAAGCCTAGCGACGAGGCTCCCCTCCCTTCGTGCAGGTACATGCCCTCACACCTGCCAACCTCAGGCCCCTCATCCAGTAGCAAGGACTTAACAGTCCTTGGTCCTCTCTCTCTGTCTAGGATCTGTTCTGTCTCAGAACTTGCTCACCAAGTCCCCGGTCGCTAGACCACTTAGCAGCCAAGCCCTTGACCCGCAGATGCACCGGGCTCGGTCTCCCGGCCCCGCTCTCCCGGCCCCGCCCTTTAGGGTAGCCCCACCCAGTTACTGGGCCTGCCCGCCACCACAGGCCTGCCCCGCCCCTATTATCCTGCCTCTGCCCAGCCGGGTCCTCTTCCTCCCAGAAGCCAGCCCTGAGACCCGCCGCCCTACCAGGGCCCTCTCCCGCTGGTCCTCCAGGCCCCGCCTTTTTTGCGACCGCCGTTATGCTGCAGGACCCGACGAGCGGGGTTGACCGTGAACCCCACGTAGACGCGGCCCCGATGCCGAGGGTTTAGGCAGTAGAGCAGGTAGACACCGAAGAAACGCTCCGGCCTTGCTTCGCTCCCCGTGGGACCCATCGGGACGTTGTAGGTCAGGGGCCGAAGCTGGAGGTGAGTTCTGTAACCGCGAACCACGGGGAGGCTGGGGAGCTAGGACTGCAACATGCTTGTTTCGGCGACAGCGAGGCACCTTTGAGCCCGCCAACAGTATGGGTTCGTGCACCCTCTCCGAGCTGGAGCTCGGTGCCAACACCTGGCTACAAAACCCAGACCTCTTTGCAGACTGCTAGAGCCAACCAATGAGCGTGCGCTCGGGGAGGGTCGGTCGTCCCGCAGACTCTGATTGGCTAACAGATGGTAAGCGCGAAAACCCTTGACTGTTGGCATTTCACCCGAGTCTGAGGGCGGAAGTGCTGCGTTTAAGGACTCCCTAGTGAGGGCGGAAGTAGATGTCTTACCGGAAGTGGCTCCACTAAGGGCGGAAGGCACCGACGGCCGGTGCTAGGTGGGTTTCTGTCCCCGCCGGGTTGCCGCGATGGAACTCAGCGCAGACTACCTCCGGGAGAAGCTGCAGCGGGACCTGGAGGCGGAGCACGTGGTGAGTTGAGTCGTCTGAACCCTCCCCAAGAGAGAAAAGGAGGCCTGGGAGCGGGTTGGGCATGAACCCCATCCTTCTGCCCGGTAGGAGGTGGAGGACACGACTCCTGGCCGTTGCGCGACCAGCTTCCGAGTCCTGGTGGTGTCGGCTAAGTTCGAAGGGAAGCCACTGCTTCATAGACACCGGTAAGTGCAGAAACTGTTCCTTGAGCGCGGCCCCAGTTCCAGGACCACAACCCTAGCCACTCCCCCATTCCCATTTATCTAACCCCTACCCCAGCAACGTGGCCCATGACCCTGGAGCGTAGAACCTCGGGGACCGCCACCCAGGCGTCAGCCTGCCGTTTCTCAACTCCAGGCTGGTGAATGCGTCCCTATCAGAAGAGCTCCCGCACATCCATGCCTTTGAGCAGAAAACTTTGACTCCAGACCAGTGGGCTCGTGAACAGCAGAAATGAGGGACCGATGCCTGCGCAGCATTAAATGACAAATCAGGGCCAGCTTCTGTGTCTGTGTGTTGTGTGTGGCAGGGGCACTGAAGCTGAGTGTACTGCTTGGCTTCTCTCAGCCTTGCTTCGATTCAAGTTCCGCTCCCCATGTAGCCTCTGTGTCCAGCTTGTAAAATGAAATTCTGTCCTTAGGTCCCTTCCAGAGGCTTCCTTGCAAACCTTTCTTGTAGACCCCTAAGAATCTGTATTGCCACTCCCCACCCAATCATGCCTGGAATTCTACCTGCTGAGGAGACTGAAGCAGGATAATTACAAGTTCAAGGGCAGCCTGGTCCACTTAGTAAGACCCTATTTCAAAATAAAATAAAAGCTGGGCATATGCTCAGTGCCTACCTAGCATTGTGGAAGGCCCTAGGTTCAATCCCTAGTTCTGCAAATATTAGTAAAAATTCAGAGATGAGAAAGTGTTCAGGATTTGAGAACCCTGATGAGCTGAACAAAATGGTCTCTCTCCCCAGCATCACCGCAATATCAGAAGCATCCCCCTCAGACCCCCTCAGCCCTTCACAAACCTCAAGGGAAGTGAGGCTAAGCTGAGGCTCTTCACCAGCTGGTGTGCTGATGTTTTGTGGCCCCCTTCTAGAAGAAGTCCCACTAGCTTCATAGCCCTGGACTTTAGTATCCACAGGTACCCTGTGAGAACCATGAATTTTTCAGGAATGTGGGATGTGCTTAGGACATAGGGATAGAGCAGGAAAATAAGGCACAAAACTGGGGAAGGTACATCTGTAAAAGTCTTAACCATGGGTTGGCAGAACCTTGTACAGTGTTTTCTGAGACTCAGGAGGGACACCAAGTGAATCATTTGGACCCAAGTCTCTTTAAGAGTGAGAAATGAGATGTTTCACACATCTCACCCACTTTGTTACCTGTGTTTTTGAAGCTAGTTTTTTAGTCCGTCAATTTCCTCTATCCCCTACCTTCCTCTCTTGCTTCCCTCTGGGAGAGAATGGGCTGGTAGAGCTGAGTCGTGATGGTTACAGACAACCTTTCTGGATCCAAGGGATCATTTCCTGAAAATTTTTAAGTTCTCCTGAACCAAAACTAGTGAGTCTACTCATGAGACCTCCAGAAGGGCCCATCATCCCCATAGTGCAACAGAAATGCAGAGAAGGAGTGTCACTCCTTTAAGAGGCCCAGCCTCCAGCCATGCTGGGATCTACCATTACATTCGCCCAGCTGTGATGATTGCCCTTCCATGATTCCCCCCTGAGGCCTAGAGAAGTGACTTGTGCAGGGTCACACGGCTTACATAGACTGAAGACCTGAGTATGCAGACAGGAACATTTGTACATTGGTACCCAGCAGTCTCTACCCTGATAGCTTTCTTCTGTGACATGCTGATGACATGGGGGCTGGGAATGAACTTTTGTTGTTTTTGCAGGATATGAACCAAGTTCTGTTGTGGCCAAGACACCCATTCCAAACAGCCCTGTGTCATCCTGGTTCAGTGGGCATCATCCACTAAATTGAATTGGGCATCAAAACCTATTCCCAAGTCCTCTCTTTATATTTGTGTTTGTTTGCATGCTAGGGATTGAACCCAGGGACACTTTACCACTGAGCTTCATTCCCAGGCCTTCTTATTTTTTGTTTTTGGTAAGTTGCCCAGACTGGCCTTGAACTTGCAGTCTTCCTGCCTCGGCCTCCCAAGTGGCTGGGATTATAGTCATGTACTACTGCACCTGGCCCCAAGCTTTTTTTTTTTTTTTTTTTTTTTGGTACCAGGAATTGAACCCAGGGGTGCTTTACCACTAAGCCACATTCCCAGCCATTTATTTATTTTTGAGACAGGGTTTCACTAAGTTGCTTAGAGCCTTACTAAGTTGCCGAGGCTGGTCTCAAACTGGCAATCCTCCTGCTTCTAGCATTCCAATTGCTGGGATTACAGGCATGCACCACCATGCCCAGCCCTAAGCCCCCTCTTGGTAGGGTCCTACAGACCTATTCCTGCCAGGTCCCCCTTTCACAGAAGCCACACCCCAACAGAACCCATAGAAAGGGCCCCAAGAGGTAGTAGTGCTATAAGGAGAATTTCTGAACAAAAATGGAGACTTAGATTGTGAGTCACAATCTGACCTACAGCAAACTGTTTCTAAACTCTTTCCTTACAGAAAGCCTTGCTATTTTTATCCTTTGAGTTTGCAGTTTGAAAGATGACCAGTGCACAGTGCTCACTGGATCATGTCCCCACAAGCAGCAGTGTCAGTACAGTCCTGAGCAACCTGATGTTTGGTTGACTGGGCACAGCAGAATTGAGGTAAACATGGGAATTTCTGATGTTGGGAGCCGCTCTGGAAATACATACCCTTAAGTCCTGAGCAAGAGATACTGAACAATTATTGTGCCCCACAATAACTTGGGCTTTACCTCCGCTCAGATACCCCCAGCAAGGGCCTGCCAGTTCTGAGAAGGAATTGGGAAACAAAGAGGAAGCTCCCAGCCCACATCAACGTGGGTGGGTTCCCCCAACAGCCTGTGCTGTAGGGTATTCAGAGAGGGACTCCCCACAGCCCTGATGGGGACAGTTCCATCAGGGATGCTAAGAGGGAAGCCCAAAGGTAGGTTAGTTTAGCAGGCCCGGCATCCAGGTAAGCAGTCATCAGAGTCTGGAGAAGTACAAGAAAATAAAGCCATTTTATTATTGTTTCTTCTTTGCCATGATAGCCTGAGGCCTGGGTGGGAATGGAGGGCTGTGAGTGGCCTCCCCCAGCTGAAGGCCCTGTGCCCTCTACTTGGCCTGGACTGTCTCCTCCAGCCTGTCCAGGCGCTTCTGCAGCTCCTGCACTGTGGTCTGCAGCTTCTTTATCTCCTCCTCCAGCCGGGACACAGCATCCTGGGGGATCCAGGCTAGATTAGGCTTAGCTCCTTCTGGAGTCCCTCATTAACCTGGCATCTGCTAAACCCCCTTCCAAGAGACCCAGAATTTGGGCCCTTCTGTCTGTCAGCCAGTTCCTGCCCAGAGAGTTGTAGGCCTGTAAACCCAAATCATGTTTTTGTTTTGTTTGTTTTGGTACCGGGGATTGAACACCGGGATGCTTAACCACTGAGCGACACCCCAACCCTTTTTTGTTTTATTTAGAGTCAGGGTATTGCTGAGTTGTGCAGAGCCTCTCTGAATTGCTGAGGCTGGCTTTGAACTTGCAGTCCTCTTGCCTTAGCCTCTGAGCTGCTGAGATTACAGGTGTGTGCCACCACACCCGGCTCCAAGTCCTGTTTTTTGAGGCCTCTGGATTACCCACTCCAAGCTGCCCCACCATTGTGACCTTGGAAAGCTCCAGACACCAGCCTGCTTCCCCTGGAGTACTGAGCACCTCCATGCAGCCCCTTCCCCACTTCACCATCTTCCCGTTCTGCCTCCCCGCCCGCCTCTCACCGAGCTGGGAGTGCCACTGGCCTCTGGCGCTGCCCTCCTGCGTGTGCTGTCCAGGCCCCGATTGACCCGCAGCTCCCGACTTTTGGGGGGTACATAGCCGTCCTTGAGGGAAATGAGGAGGGGCCCAGCATCCTGACCCCCCAGCCACTCCTCAGCTGTGAGGGCAGGGTCAGGCCCTGCTGTGGGTGGGTACAGATCCTCCTGGAACAGGTCCGACTGTGGGCAAGGCCAGGGATAGTTATGGGAGTGCTAATGTCACCATACCACCCTACAAGCCCAAGAGGTCAGTGCCCAGTCTGGAGCCCAGGAAGGGACACGGGACCATCACCTTTCTAGGCACTGTCATGGCGATGGGCTCACACTTCCGCTCGTGCAGCTTGTAGAATCTGCGGAAACAGGAAGGTGAGCAGCGCCTGGAGCCTGCAGGTCAGCACTGCCCTGGGAGCAAGCCCCGATCAGGGGTGAGGGTCAGTCACCTGGCAATCTCACACTTGTTCACTTCCAGGCCACGTTTGGGCATGTAGCCCATGCCACGCTGGGACTCCTTGGAACTGAACATGGAAAGATAGTGCAGGAATGGGGCCTCAGAGGTGATCTCGAAGTAGCGGATAGAGCTGTCACCCTGCAGGTGGTTCGTGCAAAGGGAGGGTCAGCGCCAACAGATGCCTCCAGTCTAGCTCCTCCAAGCCCTTCCTGCCCATCTCCTAGCCCCCAACCCCTCCTGGCTAAGCCACCTTGCCACAGAGGTAGACAATGTTGGTGTCAGGATCAAAGAAAGGCAGCAGGACTCCACTGCTTGTGTCCAGTTCCTGCAGGGACAGTGGCTCCTCCAGGTGCTTCTGTAGAGACAGGTGGGAGATAAGAACAGGCTGGGCCATGTCAGGTCCTGTGATGGTGATCCTCACTGGGCATGACCAGGTGAGAACCCTCCCAGACCAACTATTGGAAATTCCCATCTCAATTGGGTAAACTGAGGCCCAGGGCCATCTGGCCAGGCAAGTGGCAGGGCAGGGACTCCAGTCTCGATTCCCAGCCCAGGTGCACTCTACTTCCCATCACGCACTTACTGTGTCCCACAGCGCCACCTGCCGCTCGCTCATGCGGCTGAAGCCGGTGGTCAGTATCTTTCCTTCTGATACAAACACAGCGTGCACAGGCCGAGTCCCCTCATGGGGACGGTCCTTCTCCTGCAAGGAGAGGGTGGTGGTAGGTCAGACACCCATCCACACACGCTAGCGAGGAGACCTAGGGGGGGACAGGGGAGTACAGTACCCAAGGGTCTGGTGGATGGCGGTATGGGCTAATGGTCGCAGGGTCAAGGGTCAGGGTTCATGGCAACTCACAGCTACAATAGTGCCTTTGCGTGGCTCAATGATGCGCACACGCTTGTCACGGCAGGAGGTGCAGATGAGGGCACCATCGCGGCTCCAGTCCACGCTGTAGATTGTGTCCGGGTGCACATCTGGGCCCAGCGTCAGCACAGCTGCCCCAGTGCCCACATCCCACACCAGGATCACGTTGTCACAACCTGCATAATCCCGCCACCCCTGTGTCAGAAGCCATGAGCTTCCCACCACCTCTATGTCAGCCACCAGCCCCGCCCCCCCCCCCATTTTCCCCTTTCTCCCACCCCACGGCACCTGCACTGAGCAGTATGTTCTGGGCTGTTGGGTGCCAGGCCACGATGCCCACACGCTTGGTGTGGCCCTCCAGGGTGACAACAGGCTCCCGCAAGGGCAGCGTCAGGCCGCCATCAGGGATCTCCCATACCTGCAGAGAAGCAATGAGTGAGTCTCTGGGACTCTGAATGTTGGCTCCATCCTAGAGTCTTACCCAGCACCTGAGCACCCCCCACCAGCACTCACCATGACAGTGCAGTCCTCAGAACCACTGGCAATGACGTTGTCATTGTGTGGGCACCAGGCAATGTCCAGCACAGGGGCTGTGTGGCCACAGACTGTGGGCACGTTCTTGTCCACACGTCCAGTCTAGAGGGCACAGCAGAGCCTTTGGTGGAGGCACTCTGACCCTCCAAACCCAGTCCAACCTCTTCACACCCCTGCAGAGGAACAGGCTGTGGGATTCCCAGGAGGTGGGCCAGGGCCTGGGGTCTGCTCTCCTTGCCCCAATCCCAGGAGGGCTGGCCACAAATAGCATAGGGTGTGGGGAGCCATGCTATGTGAGATCCTGGCCATGGCCTGCCTGTCTCTGTCCCTACCCTATGCTGGCTCTGAAGGCCAGCATCCCCACCCCCGCTTCCCTGAGTGAGGTCTCCAGGGGCACATCAGGCTAAAGGTCTAGACCAGTCAGGGGTCAGGTTGGGGTTCTCCAGGGAATTGTGTCCATGGTGGGGCTGTTAGGATGTGTCCTTCCAGATGAAGAGGGACCAAGGAAGTCTGCCATCAGTGGCCCCCCAGGCAGGAGCAGAGGTTTAGAAATGGCCTCTTCCGGGGCCAGCTGCTTCAGCAGGGCTTCCTGTGTGGAGAGTCGAGCAGGGCGCGGGCCCAGCTCTCACCCCGACAACCACTTCCTCTTGTGTTTGCTTCCATCAGCCCTTTTAAGGTAACAACTGAGAACCCATCTCCCCTTCCTGTCTCACCCATCAAAGAACACAGGAGTGTGCTGAGGTGGAGGTCACACACAGCAGGGGGAAGGGGCATGGCTCCGAGAAAGAAGGGAGGCCTCTTCCATCACCAGAGGCTCAGCCGGTTGCCCAGACCCAGACCTAGAGTCCCCAGCCCCAGTACTACTACTCACCAAGTCTCAGGTGCTATCCCAGCCCTCCCTGTGTTTCCAGGAGGACAAAGCCCCAGGCTGAGACTTGGGAGACCTGGCCCTGGGTCTGCAGGTCTCCATGCGGCCCTCTCTTGGTGCCCCATGAGCTTCAGGTTCCACACAACCCATGCACACAGGAGCTGGAGGGAGCGGGAGCCATATCTGGCCCGGCTCAGTTTTATAGATGACAACACTGAGGTCCAGGAAGGCTAAGTGACAATCACCTATGCAGTCCCCCCACCCACCCAGTGCCACGGGTGACAGAGGCCTTCCCAGGAAGACATCTGCTGTCCCAAGTTTCCAGTGGCTCACCTTACCCAGGGGCAGCACCAGGAAGGCCCCTCCCCCACTGGCCTCACAGATCAGGGCCACAAACTTGGGGTTGACAGCACAGAAGCCACTGTCCCAGGTGGTCTGTGAGACGCGCACATCCTCGTAGCATTGGTCCGCTTTGGCTGGCTGTCCGAACACGTGGCGGAACTTGCTGGAGCGGACCACCTGCCGGCTCATCCTAGGGGCACAGGGGTTGAGAATTTTTCCCCTTCAGGTGAACTCTGACCTTACAGTGGTCCCTGCCTCCCCCTCAGTCTGGCTTTTAGGATCCTGGCATCACTCCATGGCCGACAGCATGCTGCCCATCACCCCGCTCACGCTTCTCAGCCTATCCTCACTCCTGTCTAAACCACGGCCCACCTGCTGCACCCTCGGGTCACTCAGCCACATCTCAAACCTGTACCCTCAGCCCAAAGCAGCCTGGTGCATGGTGCACCCAGTGTGTGCCGTTGGCTGATGGGCTCAGGATGCAGAGTGCTTCCTTTCCCGTGGTGCCAATGCTGGGGCACCAGCCCCGGTGCCCTGAGGGTGGGTTCTTTCCTACTGTGTCAGAGCCCACTTGTCTCACACCCACACGGGGACCCTCCTAAAGGCAGGGGCAAGGTTGGTCCTCCCCAACCTCCGGACCCAGGGCTGGCACACAGGAGGAAGTGGTGTGTGGGCTTGCCAGGCAGCAGGATGGCGTCCCCAGTAGGTCTCTGGGCACCAGAAGCAGTGATGGCTCGAGTCCCAGCATCTCCTCCTCCCCACACCTCTGCCTCTCGCCTCCGCTCAGAAAGAGCGAAAGATGGCCCCTGAGTGCCATCTCCACCCCCGTTGGAACCACACACAGGAAGGGAGAGGCCCACCCTGACTTCTCTGAGGTCCAGCTGGGGTGGTTTGCCAATGCTTCCCTGGGCTCCAGGGTGCCGTCCTGGTGCCCGATCACACCACCTTTCTGCTTGGTGAAGGGGCTTATGCTGCCATGCTGAGGGCACCCTGCCCAGAGCTCCTGTCCACCTCCCCAGTTTCACCATTTGCTCTGCCTTGGGGCCTTGTCCCTTCTTTCGGGGCCACAGCCCCCTTGCCTAAGCTGGGATCCCTCAGGAGACTCCCAGGCCTGCCTACCGGAAAGCAGGTGAGAAGCATGAGCCAAGAGCCCAGGTTCAAATAAGGGACAGGAATCCCAAGAGAGCAGCCTGGGGAGAGGGCAGCCCCATAGGTTGGGGTACAGGAAGCCATGGCCCCACCCTGCCGCCTCCCCCACCGCAGGTACCAGGCCCAGAAGCCACTGAAAGGGGAACTTGGTCTTTTCTTGTTTTGCTGTCAAGCCCTTCCTGTCTCCAAGCTCGGGGCAGCAGCTCCTCTCACCCCACCCTGGCGCCCACCCCGCCGCCCAGACCCTCGCATTCTGAGCAGGTCGCCCCCCGCGCGCTGCGGCCCCTCCCGGCTTGCCCACCTCCATCTTGGCCGCGGTGGCCCTTCACCCTCACCTCAGAGCACTCTGGGACCCTGGGCTGGCCCCTCGCCGTCCTCAAGCCCGGGGGCCTCCCCGAGAGCCGAGGGGCCGGCTCCCTGTCCCCGGCTGAGCCAGGCGCGGCTGACAGTCCGCCCGCCCGACAGCCCGCTGCTCCCACGCTCACGCCGGCCCCACAGGTGGCCCAAGGCAGCGAAGCCGGGTCCCTCCAGCCGGTCACCCCCGCGCCCCAGGGACCCCAGCCTCACCTGCGGCAGAGAGATGAGCTAGACCCCCCCAATGGAGGAGGAAGAGGAGGAGGAGGAGGAGGAAGGCGCAGCCGGAGCCCGAGACTGGCCGGCTGAGGATGCTCTGTCAAGACAATGAATGAGAAGCGGCCGTCGCCCGCCTCCTCCGGTGGCAGCGCCCCTTTGGGGCGGAGCTCGGGAGAGGCTGGCCCTGCCCTCCGCGGAGGCGGCCGCCGGCGCGGGACCCGCAGCAGCGCTGGCCTCTTTGCGCGAGCAGCTCGCTGTGCGCTGCCAGCTCCGAACAGATGCCCTGGGCCTCGACTCTGCGCTTCTTTGAACGTCAAATGCAAAAATACTCCGCTCCTCCTTCCCTCCTGCAGCCGCCCCCAGCCTCCTCGCCATCCTTCCCCGGCTCGTGAAAGCTCCCAAGGCCCGCGCTCTCGCCAGCCAGTCTGCGTCGCCATCCTCTCCCCCGCACGGATGGGACCCAAGGAGCCGGGGCCGGACGAGGGACAGCCCTGCGCGGACCAGACTCAAGGGGAGCTGGGCTCTGGTCGCGACTCCTAATGGACTAATGGGTAGCCTGGGGAGTCGCTCGGCCTTTCTGGGTTTCAGATCTTCACCCGGGGCACCCTGCCCTCCTGCTGCACAAGGCTGGGGCGAGGGACAAATGAAATAGCTGGGCGCCATGGAGCGCCTGCTTTGAGCCAGGGGCCACGGGGGAGAATGAGTCGGGCTCCCGCGGTAAAGAGCTCTCCACCAGGTGGAAGAGAAAAGCCCGCGATGGCCCTAAGGGCGCCAAGCAGAGGTAGGCTCCCAGCGTCACACTCAAGAGGAGAGAACCCATGCCCTTCCTTGGATCTCAGGGACATACGGAAGCAGCGACACGGAAGGCAAGAAAGGCCTAGAATCAGGCTGTTGTACCAGTGTGGCTCCGGGCTGTCACTCCTTTTGAGTGACCTTGGGCAGGATACTAACCTCTCTCAGCCTGTTTCCTGTCTGTAGCTGAGCCACACGTGCCTCACAAGGTTATGGGGATGATTTCCCTAAATAACCAAAGGAGAGTCTGAAGCACCTCCCTGCCGAGTGCTAAAAAAAAATAGCAAGTGCTAAGTAAATGTTAGCGCTTCTCATTGTCACGTAGAGAACTGGGGCTGGACTGAGAGGATGAGGAAGAGCCAGTAGGCGTGGCCAGAAGACCATCTGGTAGGCCCAACAGCAACCAGAGTTCAGGCCAAGGCCCCCGTGGTAGGAAGGAGTTCAAGGAACAGCAAGAAACAGCAAGAAATCCTACCTCACCATTGATTGGCTGTGTGATTTGGGGCAAGAGGCTTAACCTGTCAAACTCAGTTTCCTCAGTTATGAGATTCAGATGAGACAATGTACGTGGAAGAGTTCTGCAGTTATTCAATTGTAAAAACCTAAGGGTTGAACCAAGAACCTGCCACTGAACAAAGAGTGAGACAGAGCCTGAGATGTATAATCTGCAGCTGAAGTGACAAGGATAACAGCTGGTGTTTATTGAGCGACTACTATGTGCTGGGTACTGTTCTAAACATTACACTTTGCTCACTTTTTTTTTACCCCTTTCTCTGTGTGTGTGTGTTCATGTGTGTGTTACTGGGATCTGAACCCAGGGGCACTTTACCATTGGGTTACATCCCCAGTCCTTTTTATTTTTTATTTTTTAGGTAGGGTCTTGATAAGTTGCCCAGGCTGGCCTTGAATTTGTCATCCTCCTGCCTCAGTCTCCCAAATCACTGGGATTAGAGGCCAGGGCCACTGCACCTGGCTATACCATGCTCATTTAATCCCTACAATAGCCCCTGAGTGGCAGATGCTATCTTCATTTTACAGATGTCTTCAGCCCTGCGGGGTCTTGTGCCCACACAGAGCACGAGCACATGCTGAAGGACCTGAAAGACCTGCCCTAGAGGTGGTGAGTCTGACGGGCCTGAAGAGAGAAAGCTGGGACAGATTCAGGCTGCTTTCAAATGCCAGTTGGTCCTCAGCGTGGGAAGGGGGCGGCCAGCACAGGGCTGCTGCAGAGGACAGACGCAAGGCCAGTGGGAGGAAGTTCTGGGAAGCAGATGTCCACAGAACACAAGATCGACGGTAGGCGGCGAGGACCGTGCCACGCAGCTCGCCGTGTGTTTGGGTAGAGGCCAATGCCTCCCTACGAGGGCACTGAACTGGCATTTGCCTGTCTGGCTGCTGCCAACCTAGCATCTCACCATCGCTCCATTCCTGGTGGCAGCTCCTGGATTTTCCTTGGGGGAATCAACCTTCCTCAGTGACTGTCCATGAGGTTCAGGAAGGGGTCTCGGGGGAACCCATGGTCCCTGCTTCCCCAGCCACAGCAAGCCTTTTGCTCTGTCTCAGGGCTGGATGCTTGATTCCAGCCTGTGCAGTCCAAAACAGAGGCATCTTGGAGCTGCTGGGAAAAAGCAGCTCTCTTTCCACGTGGGTTAGTAAGCTGTAAGGATGTAATCACAGCACTAGTAGCAACCATCTTGTCACCACATAAGAAAAGCTGGCCAGGGAAAGCCCACGCAGAGAACTGCAGAAGCAAGACATGAGGACATATTCTAGACATCATTTGACTCTTTGGATCAAGCTGTGCCCGAACCCCTTAAATTTGCTGTTATATAAAGCAATAACTTCCATATAAGCCAAGAAGTTTCAGTTAACTTTATGGCACTTGCAGGTGGCAGTTCTGACCTGTCTACCTGCTCTGTAGGCAGACAGGAGCAGAGGCCCTTCCAAGGAACCAGATACACTGTAAAGATGGACAGACCGAAATGAAGAGCAAAGTTCAAACTCCTTAGCAAGGTTCCCAGTGCATTCTCTGTTCTGTCTGGCCCTAAAGAGACTGCGGAGCAGGGTGGGGTCAGAGGACCTTGGGGGACCCTAGCTTCCATCTCACTTTATACAGTCTGAGGATGAGTTGATATAATGTATAGTGAATGCCAGGCACTGTGCAGGTGAGCACCACGTGAGCATTGGCACCCTGCCCCTCTACCTTGGCCTTCCTAACGGAGACAGTGATGGCCATATGCCCCCAAGTGCCATGGTCTCCTCCAACTTCCTGGGAATTTTCTGCTCATCTGCAGAGCTCTCTGTGTACACATGAAAGGTCTGGTATTTTCCATACTTTCCTCATCTATCCATCCACCCAGTTGTGTCCCAGGCAGTGTGCTGGGTGTAGGGGACTCAGAGGCTAATGAGTCACACCCCTGACATTAGAGAGATAAATGCAGATGACCTGTGCCAGGCCAAAAGTACCCTGCAACTTAATTCCAGGTCTTTAATTGAGCTTCCTGCTGGGTGGCTCAGAGTAGAAGTCTAAGAGGTGCTAATAGTCGTCTCACCTTCAGCTGAAGCAAGCTGAGAACAGAACCAATCTAGAGGCCATTAGGGCCAAGAAAGGAAGAGAAGAAATTAGAGCCCTGAGGACACTGTCTGAGACCCTGGATCCACCTATACCTGAAGCAAGTCTTTGTTATGTGAAGTAACAAATTTCCTTTCTTCCTCGATTTTGCTCTTTTTTTTTTTTTTAACTAAATTTTAGTTAGATTTTTTTTTCCTTTAAAAAAAAAAACTGGGAGAAATAAGGTTTTATCTTACCTATTTTTAAAAATTTGAGTCATTTATACTTTTAATCTTCCATTATAGAAAATTCCAAATATATAAAATCAAAAGAATTATATAATAAACTCTTTTGTACCCCTCATTCAGCTTCAACAATTCTCAGCATAGGATAAATATTGATTTCTTCATTTCTTCTTTCACATTATTTTCTTTGAACATATTAAGCCAAATCCCAAACATTATGCCACTTCAGTATTTATTAGTAACAGATACGAACTTTAAAAACTCAGCTCTTTCAACAAAACATTTAATTTATAGAGTAATTTGGGATGACCATTGAGACATCTGCCCATGAACACAGTCCATTATCTATACGTGTAGGTCTTCTCTTTTGTCTTGAATATAATTTTATCTGTAGTCACATATTACTAGTTTCCCCTCAGAGGCATATTACAGTTTTATGACTATAAAAATGAATTCTTTTTATTCTAGTTGTAATTTTATTTCCTTTTAAAATCAACTTTATTCACAAACATCAAAATACACCTTAATTTTCATACAATAAAACATTCATTTTAAGTGCATGATTCAATTAGTTTTGACAGCTGTATGTATCCATGCAATCACCACCACATTCAAAATACAAAATGTTTCCATCACCCTCAAAATCCCTCCACAGTCAGTCCCCAGCCTCCGCCATTGCTGAGGCAACCCGTGCCGTGTTTTTCGTCACTTATAGGTTCATTTTGCTTGCTCCAGAATGTTCCATATAATTGAAATCAATAAGTATGGATCTGGGTTGGTTGGTTTGTTTTGTTGTTGTTGTTGTTTTCACTCAGCATGTTTTGAAATTCGCCCATGTTGTATGTCAGACAAGGAATTTTATTTTACCCAACCACAATACCATAATGTAATATATAATTACACCCAAAATATTTAGCAATAATTTCTTACCTTCATAATACCCTGGTTATGTTCAAACTTCCATGATTGCCAGGAAAAGAAAGATTCCATCAATCAAATTTTTTTTTTTTTTTTTTTTTTTTTTTTTGTACAGGAGATTGAACCCAGGGAGGCTTAACCACCAAGCCACATCCCCATCCATTTTATATTTTATTTAGGGTCTCAATGAGTTGCTTAAGGCCTTGCTGCTGAGGCTGACTTTGAACTTGCCATTCTCCTGCCTCAGCCTCACAAGCCAGTGGGATTATAGGCATGTGCCAATGCACCTAGCACCATCAATCAATCTTACCATTACCAAAAGTAGGACTAGACATTCTGTATCTCCTGCTATGATGCAGTACATATGCAGCACCACCTTCTCCCTGTTCTTGCCAGAATAATTGTGATCACTGTCATCTTGAATGTAGTCATCCAAACTTAATTATTAGTTTATAGGAAATAAAAGGGATAGAAGAACAGGTTAAATAACACCATCAGGGAGCAATTACTTAAATCTTGAATGCAGAGAATTTTATAGGAATGAATGACCATCAAAATAGACCACACTAGCTGGGTATGGTGGTGCACACCTATAATCCCAGCAGTTTGGGAGGCTGAGTCAGGAGGATCGCAAGTTCAGAGCCAGCCTCAGCAATGGCAAGGTCCTAAGCAACTCAGTGAGACCCTGTCTCTAAATAAAATACAAAATAGGGATGGGGACATGGCTCCAGTGGTCGAGTGCTCCTGAGTCCAATCCCTGATACCCCCCCCAAAAAAATAGACCATACTAAAAGGGCTGGGATGTAGCTTAGTGGCAGAGTGCTTGTCTAAAATCCATGGTCCTACATTCCTGCATTGTCAAAAATTAAAATAAAATTAAGTTAAAAAATTAAATAAAGTAAATGGCACTAAAATGAGATGAAAGAAAAATATATGGAGTCTTAAGAACTGTGCTCACCAACTGTAACATGTAGACTCTCTTTGGATCCTCATCCAAACCAGCTAAGTGTAAAAGAAAACTTTTAAATTAGGTTCTTACAATGAAGCATCCTGACAGGTCCAGGCCACACTACTTCAAGGTGCCACACCAAGTGCCTTCAGGAACAACCCCTCATTGGGTTGTTCACAGAGCCCTGCGAGATATTTGTTTATCCCCATTTTATGGATAAAGTAATCAATGCAGAGAGGAGATAAATGACCTGCCCAAGGTCACATGAAGTAGGATTCACATCCAAGCCTGCCTGACTGAGACCTGTAAGTCTGGCTGCAGCATCCTGGGACCTCTTACAACCCGGGTGTTCACAAAAAGGGGGAGGAGCCAAGTCAGGAGGGCAATCGGGAATGAAGTGGAGGAGACCATCAGAGGTGGTGGTGGTGGGATGGATGGATGGATGGCATGCCATAAACAAGTGATCCTCCTGCCTTAGCCTCCCAAGTTGTTGGGATTACAGGAGTGTGCCACCACACTTGGCTTTAAACTGGGTCTTTTTTTTTTTTTTTTTTTTTGGTACCAGGGATTGAACTCAGGGGTACTTAATCACTGAGCCACATCCCCAGCCCTTTTTATATTTTATTTTGAGACAGGATCTCACTGAGTTGCTTAGTACCTCGATAAATTGCTGAGGCTGACTTTGAACTCAAGATCTCCCAAGCAGCTGAGATTACAGGCATGCACCACTGTACCCAGCTTAAACTTGAGAGTTTGCCAAGCAGAGAAGGAAGGGGAAGAGAAAAGCCTTTCAGATAAAGGCAGAAACAGTTATGGCACTTTAGGGAAAAGTGAGACCTGCCCCACAGTTGGCGCCTCAGGGACTTCGGATGATGGGGAGGGACACCAAGCCAGAAAGGTCAGCAGGACCCAGATCACGAGGGACCTCAACCAGGGCCTTCTCAAGAAGTTTGCTGATGTAGGCAATAAAACCCACACCAGTCTACAAGTGAAGCAACGGTCTCCTGTATGAGTGGTCACTCTGGTGGCCTGGCCCTGCTACCAAACCAGGCCTGTTTTGCCTGCCATGCACGATGCCAATGGCCAAAATAATGAGGTCTGAGCTTTCTTGGTGGTGCTGGGGACTGAACCCAGGGCTTGTGCTCACCGGGCTTACTCTCGGCCTGAGCTCCAGCCCCAGAAATGATGAGTTTTGCACCACAGAAGGAGTTAATTAACAAGGTGACCTTGGGTGGAGACAGCAGAGCAAGTCTCAAATCTGCCTCCACAGTAATAGATTCTGGAGACATCTGCAGCATGGGCGATCGCAGGCTAAGAGCAGATGAAGTGGGCTAAGCCTGGGGGGCCTAATCAGGTTTTCCAGCTCCGGGGCCTCCAGGCCTCCTCATATCTATGGTCTTCCTTGACCTGCAGGTTCAGCGTTGACTGTCACATCTGGAAGCCAGTTGTGGCCCTCAGCAGAAGGCACGGAAGGATGTCAAAGTCTCCAGGCTGGAGCCCAAGTCAACCTCAATGGCCGCTTCCACCAGCCCTCTGCTGCAGATGCCTTCCTCGCTGTCACCAGATGATCGCGGCTCCTATTTTATGGAGAAGTGAAATGAGAACTGTGCCAGCCGCTCTGTCCTCACCAGCTCTCATCTCCGGCTTCTCTAACTGCCATGGGCCATCACCCCAGAGGCAGAGGCTGACTCGGGCCCAGGCTGACTCCTGCGCCCTCCTGGACAGTCCTTCCCGTTTCCTCTTGACCTGTTCCATGGCTTAGCCCCTCTCCTGCACCGCCAACTTCCCTGTCCAAGGACCCTCTGTTCAGTGTTCAAAAACACACTAGGTCTCCCACGGGGTGGGGACCTGCCAACCTCGGACCACTTCCTCTTCACTCCTGCAGTCCACGCTCAAGTTTCTTGAAAGAGCTGTTGACACCCAGTCTGACTTCCCCCTCCACTGCTTTTTCACCTACTTGTCTGCTGCCACAGAGACTTGCCATCGCCAAGGCCACCAACCATCTCCTGATCACACATCAAACACATTTTGGCGGCCACCTGAAGCTGCTGACCGCTCCCTCCCTCTGAACACCTCTCTTTGGAATCTAACAGGGACCTGCTCTCCCCCGTCCTCTTCCTCTCTCCAGCTTTCTCTCTTGATCCCCTTCAGGGCATCTCTTCTCTTGCTGGACAGGTCAAGGGTCAAGTCGCCCCTTCCCCAGGCACCCCCACCAGCCACCCTGTCTCATCCACATCTGCTGAACAACTCCCCGCCTGCCTCTGGGGCCCAGATCTGCCCCTGTGCTTCTGGCTTCTGACCCACACGCCCCATTGCTGGCTCCCAAGGTGGACACTCTCCCAGCCCTATTCTGGGGTTTGAGGAGTGCCCCACCGGCAATTGTCACAGCCTAACTATTTCTATCACTTCTGTCACATTCTGTTGGTAAAACACTTGCAGGACTGTCCTCGAGTCCATGGGGAGGGGACCGTTGTTATGGACAGTTGCAAAGATATGAAGCTGTCTCTGACCCACCACGGAGGACAGGCAGGTGATGTGGTTGTCTGATACAGAGTGACCTTCGTCGCCATGCAGGAATGTCAAACCTGATTTCCCAAGATAAATTAAAGCTATGGATTTTCATGTGAAAGCTCCAGATCTTTTAATGTTGGCAGCTAATTCTAAAACTTCTAAAAATGTCATGTGAGCAAAACTAAAAATGTCTTTGGTTTGGATATGGATTTTTCTGGCCAATTTTTTTTTTTTTTTTTTTCTGGATGGGTTTTCCTATGTTGCCCAGCCTGGCTTTGAACTCTTGGGCTCAAGTGACCCTCCTGCCTCTGCCTCCGGGTGGCTGGTCCCCAGGCATGCCACCACACTGGCTCCATTTTTGTTGTTGTTGTTGTTGTTTTGGTTTTGGTTTACTTATTCTTTGCCCCTGGCATGGGCCCGAGATCCCTTCCTCCTCGTTTACCACTAAACTTCTGTGCATCCCACCCATCCTTTAAGACGCAGATCAGGATGTCCCTCTTGGTGAAGTCTTCCCTGACACCTGCTACACATATTACCACTCCTCAAATGGCTCCTTACAGTCTGGATATGGCTTGTCTTCCAAAGGTTCATGCACTGGAAGCTGGATCCCCAGCATGGTCATATGGAAAGATGGCAGTATCTTTCAAAGGTGAGGCCCAGTGGGAGGTCATCGGAGGTGCTGCCCTACAAAGAGATTAAGTTAGTTCTAGTGACAGGATCACTATAAAAGAACAAGCCTGGTCATTCCCCAGTCACCCCCGCTTCCTGCCCCACCAGGTGGCTGCTGCCTCCCTCCCACAAATATTCCCACCATGATGCCATCTGCCATCAGATAAAGCAGTCAGAGAGGCCCTTGCAAGGGCCATGCTTTTTTGACTTCCCTCCTCCAAATTGTGAATTTAAATAGATCTTTTGTCTTCAGAAATTACCCAGCCTCTGGGATTTTGTTATAGTAAAGGAAAACTACCATTGTCACTTACAAATCAGATATAATTGTCTATGTGTCCAGATCTCCTATCAGACTGTTTTATTTTCCCACCACAAGACCCAATATATGGTTGGCATTCAATAAAAATCAATCCTCTCCTTTCCAACATTGTTAAGAAACAGGTAACTTGTGCACACTCTGCCTTCACCATTTTGTTTCATGGCTATTCCATCCTCTGTCTCCATGGCCATTAACTTCCTGGCAGTTGAAAACACACTATCACCTCCTCCTGCCCATTGTCATTAATTTAGAGAAGGATTTATGGCCCATTATAAACTGAGGAAAGTTTTCCCAAGACCACCAGGAGCTGGAACTACTGGGAAAGAGATTTCTTTCTGCTCTGGTTGACAAAATGGCAGAAGGAGGGGCCCCCCTGAAAATGAAACTAACGCAGCCAAGGTCTTGGTAAGACAAATTCCTCATGACATAATTTGAACACCTTTGTTCAGGTTTTGCTGAAGCCCTCTAGGCCAGAACTTTTCTTTTTTATCAGTCAATAAATGTATTTTTATGCCTATCATTGGCTATCCTAGTAATTGAAGAGGAGAGGGTGACTTCGTAATTGTCACATTGTTATAGAACCCAAAGAAGTGGGCTTCTCTACAAGCACAGATTTCACAAGCAACTGTAGCTATCTCAGAAATGCCAACTGTGGTCAGAATTCTAAGCCATATTCTCTCACTTTACAAACTTGGATACATTCCCATCAATCTTGCAACAAACTTTCCAATCAATCTGGCAACAAACATTCCCATCAATCTCGCAACAAATTAAACTTTCCCTTGCAACTTCTTTTTAGTTATATTGTTTCCAACAGAATTGCCTGATTTTAAGAGCTGGGAGATAATATTGTTTCCCATTTTGCAACTCTATTAGCACCATAGAGGGGTTTGATGTTGTCACATCATTATCCACAATTTTTTTTTTTTTGGTACCTGAGATTGAACTCAGGGGTGCTTAACCACCAACCCACATCGCCAGCCCTTTTTATATTTTATTTACAGACAGGGTCTCCCTAAGTTATTTAGGCCCTCAGTAAGTTGCTGAGACTGGCCTGAAACTTGTGATTCTCCTGCCTCAGCCTCCCAAGCAGCTGAGATTACAGGCATGCACAACCATGCCTGGCTTGCCAACACATTTTATCATCTAACTTTCAAATTAGATTAAGTTATACAGCCACCCTAGTGGATTTAAAATGGTTTCTCATTCTGTTACCTATTCACATTTCCCTAATGACTAAAGATGTTGAGTATCTTTTCAGGCATTTATTAGCCATTTGTGTATTTTAGAAGAAATGTCCATACAGATTCTTTGCCCATTTTTTATTGAATTATGTCTTGTATTATTGGGATGTCAGTGTTACTTATATGTTTTGGATACAAATTTAATATCAGATATATTACTTGCAAATATTCTCTCTTGTTCTATATTGTATTTTACTTTCTCAATGGTGTCCTTGAAAACACAAAATTCAAAAATTTGATCAAGTCCAATTTATTTTTTCTTTTATTGCTTGTGCTCTTTGGTGAGATATTGAAGAAAATATTACCAAATTCAAGGACATAAAGACTTACCTGTAAATTGTCTTCTAAGATTTTTATATTTCAGTTTTTATATTTGACTTTTAAAAATCTATTTTGAGTTAATTTTTGGATATGGTGTGAGGTAGGGATTCCAAATTCATTGTTTTATATTGTGTATACTGTGTATATATATATCCTAGCATCACTTGTTCAAAGTTATTCTTCAATTCTTTTTTTTTTTTTTTTTTAGTTATAGATGGACATAATATCTTTATTCTAATTTATTTATTTATTTTTATGTGGTGCTGAGGATCAAGCCCAGGGCCTTACACTTGCTAGGCGAGAGATCTACCGCTGAGCCAAAACCCTAGCCCCTCAATTCTTCCTTTCTTTCCTTTTCTTCTTCTTTTTGCTCCTCCATGGTAGAGATTGAACCCAGGGCCTTCCACATACTGGGCAAGTGCTCTACCACTAAGCTACTTACCCAGACCTTTTTATTTTCTGTTGAGACATAGTCTCACTAAATTGCCCGAGCTGGCCTTGAACTTACAATCATCCTGCCTTGGCCCCCTACACCCAGCTCAAAGACTATTGTTTCCCTCATTGAATTGCCTTGTACCCTTGTCCAGAATTAATTTATCATAGATACATAAGTTTATTTCTGAACTCCAGATTCTACTCCATTAATCTGAGTCTGTCCTTAAGCCAGTCCCACACTGTAGCTTTGTAGTAAGTTTTTAAGTGTGAGTCCCTCAATTTTGTTCTTCTTTTTAAAGACTCATTTAGCTGTTCTAGGTCCCCTGAGTTTTCATATGAATTTAAGACCCAATTGTCAATTTCTACAAAGAAGCCACTGATTCTGATAGGAATTATGTTTTATTCATTTATTTATTTGTAACAAGGATTGAACCCAGGAGTACTTAACCACATCCACAGTCCTTCTGTAGCTTTCATTTTGAGACAGGTTTTTCACTAAGTTGATTAGGGCCTCACTAAGTTGCTGAGGCTGACTTTGAACTTGTGATCCCCCTGCCTCAGTCTCCCAAGCCACTGGGATTAGAGGCATGTGCCACTGCACCCAGCAGAATTATATTTATAGATCTATTTAATAATATTAAATCTTCCATTTCTTTAGATTGTTGATGTATTTCAACAATTATTTGACATTTTCAGAGTATACATTTTGTATTTATTTTGTTAAATTTATTCTTAAGTATCTTATTTTGGGAAGTGCTATTGTAAATGGAGTTATTTTCTTTCTTTTTTTAAGAGAGAGAGAGAGAATTTCAATTTCAATATTTATTTTTCAGTTTTCGGCGGACACAACATCTTTGTTTGTATGTGGTGCTGAGGATCAAACCCGGGCCGCACGCATGCCAGGCAAGCTCGCTACCGATTGAGCCACATCCCCAGCTCCTGGAGTTATTTTCTTAATTTCCATTTAGGTTGCTCATTGCAAGTATGTGGAAATACAATTGATTTTTCCATACTGACCTGCATATTGTATGCTGTAACTTTTTCTGTTCTCATTAATTAATTCCATTTTTATTGTAGTAAAATATACAGCATAATCTCCCCCTTTTAGCTGGGTGAGTGGCACACACCTGTAATCCTAGCTACTTGGGAGGCTAAGGCAGAAGGATCACAAGTTTGAAGCCAGCCTCAGCAATTTAGCAAGACACTGCCTCAAAATTAAAAATCAACAAGTAAATAAAAGGGCCAGGGATGTGGCCCATTGGTAAAACACCCCAGAATTCAATCCCCAGTAATCCAGGGGCAGAAAACTATCTACCTTTTAACATGTTTTTAAATGTACAGTACAGTATTAACTATAAGCACAATGTTATTCGGTTGATCTCTAGATCTCTAGAACTGTTTCATCTTGCACAACTGAAACTCTGTACCTTCTGAACATCAACTCCTCATTTGTCCCTCCCCCCATCTCCTGGAAACCACAAATCTATTTTCTATCTCTGAGTCTGACTAGTTTAGTAAGTGAAATCATGCAGCATTTGTCCTCCTGGGTCTTGTAGCATGTTTTCAAGGTTCATCCACATTGTGGTATATGACAGGATTTCCTTCCTTTATGGCTTAATAGTCCACCATAAGTATATGCCACATTTTCTTTATCCATCTGTCATTGGACAGATGTTTAGTCTATTTCCACCTTTTGCCTATTTTGAACAATTTTGAAATAAATATGAGAATGCAAATATCTCTTTGAGATTCTGATTTCAGTCATTCTGGACAAATCCCTAAAGTGGGTTTGCTGGATCACATAGTAGTTTGATTTTTCAAGGAACCATAATACTGTTTTCCATAGCAACTGCGCCATTTTAAACTTATAACCATGCATGAGGTTTCCAATTTGTCCACATTCTTACCAACACTTGTTAATTTCTGGTTTTGTTTTGTGTTTATAATGACCATCCTGGTAGGTATGAGTTGATAACTTCACTGTGGTAAAGTAACTTTGCTTTTCTGTAATGATTAGTGCTAGAGTTCTGACTTTTCAGTGGAATTCTTAGGATTTTCTATATACAAGATCATGTCATCTGCAAATAGATATAGTTTTGCTTCTTCCTTTTCATTCTAGATTTGATTTAT